TTCGCGTGAGAGTCGCGTCGTATCTTTGGTGTTAACCAATGTTTCGGCCAGCATCCTAAAGTAGATTCCATACAGTGAACTTCAGCCGCGAAAACCTACGGACAAGAATATTCTTGCTTTTCTGTAATACGATGATTCAGAACCGTCGTCACAAACCCAAACATTTGATCCCATTCCAAACCAGTTCAAACAAGTTCACGCCATATTTCTCGTCGGAATACCATCCAGATTTCTGTGCCTGGATCCTTGAAATGGTTTCTTCTCTCCTGGTTTTCCAAGCAACATTTTATAAGTATTTCATTTTTCTCATGTTCATGGTATTTGTCTTACACTGCTCATTGTTCTCAATTCAAACACCAAAACATTATAAGGTGATTAGCAAAAACTGTAAAGCTCATTATAAAATATTCTCTATTTCCCTGTTACTTCACCGCCCTCAGATCCAAATATTCTCCTTAAGGCGCTGTTCACAAACACCCTTAAATTACAATAGGGAGAACGTGTACCTACGCCAACCGCCTCTTTATACTATAGTTCCATCTCTAAGACTTCGGTGAGGAAATATAATAAGTGCCTCACTCATATTGTACCTTTTCAACTTAAATCCTCATACGGAGGCGTCGATATACAGACGTGTACCCGTACTTAAATTAGGTTTCCAGGAGGAACACTCGAGCTGAATTTAGACAAAGTGACTGGATCTTGAATATCTGTGCAGTCTGCTCAAGCCAACTCATTTAAATCATAACCATAAAGTTCAAAGAAACAAGTGATTAATTAACTATGGTTTAATCCTAGTCCGTAATAAAATACAGCCCGTTCCGCTAAGTCGTTTTCCATTATGATTAGAATGAATGTGGCCGGGGTATGTACAAATGTCATCAACGTCATGTTAGGCACCAAACAAAGCAAAGGGTCGAATAGAAAAAAATCAGGAAGGCCCTTTTCTAGCTACACGGTGACAGACGGTGTAATGCATGGTAATGGCCGTGACCACGTCATGAAAGAACAGAGACGGTGAAAGGATAGTTATGTATAATTTATAAAAATAAAACTGAAACCTGGCGACCTTCATAAGCCCAGCCCGCATCTCGTTACAAAGCTATATCCCATGTAACAGATCGTTTAAGCGGTCCTATCCTACCATTAACATGTCCCCATTTGTACTATGTTATATAACAGGCTGTTATGTAAAGAGGCTACTGATGATAAACCTCACACCTACAATTATACATAAAGACGTCTCGAAGAAACCTTGCAGAACCTAGATTCCGGTTAGTGTCCCAAATTTTGTGAGATTCTGATAAAGGCTGAGAACTCCCTGCAGAAGTTTCGTGTTAGACAAGTGAGCTCACATGAACTTCACATCGGAATACAAAGAATTTCTAAATGCGTTCTTTGTTATTTCACTTCTTCCCCTTCGTCTTACAAATAAGGTCTGAGCAATTATGGCCCGCTCCGAGGTTAAAATTGCTGTGATTCTGCATCCTTGTATGCTGCATATGAAGGCTTTATGTTCATTTATTGCAGACATAACTCTGCTGTTGATAATTATAATCAACAACATAGGAATTGTAGTACATTGTCATCTTTTTTCTCCCTTCTTCTTCTTCTTCTTCTATTAATACTTCTTCCATATGTTAGTTTCTTTCCCGTTTTCATTACAAGGCTGTGACCACTTACCACTTTTTGCTTAAAAGTACCTCACAAAATAGCATCATAATCGAGAGTTAGGCTACACAGAGACATCTTTTGTGCGAGATTCATTTTTCCTCCGTGCGATGGGCAGTTTCCTATATACATGATAAAGTTAAATTTCTTTTTCGTGTAAAGGATAAAATGCGATTCTACCTTTAAAGCATGTTACTGGCTACCTAATCAACTTCATGCAAAAAAACTCAATCGATCCCTATCCAAAGTCAAACGAATCCAGTGTACAACATCCAACCTGCTTCCTTGTGATCCATTTTAATATCACGCTCTCATGTGCACAGTGGTCCCTCCACTTCTGGTTTCCCAATCAAAAATCTACGCATCTCCACCATGCGTACTACATGTGCCGCCGAAGTAATTGTTATAGAGACATTGATATTCGAATAAAGGGCTCTGGGCTACCTGCACACTTCAGATTCTGTTAATTCCACTTCTGAAACTGCGTATGTGTAAGAAATCACCCACACACTGCAGCATAAAATACTCAGATCACATTTCAAGGTCACGTCACTCAAACCTCCAGAGGTACCAGCAAGGAGGGATTCGCCTAACGTCCACACAATGTGCCGTGCGTCGTTTGTACAAAATATGGAAACCACGAATCCATAAATATTCCACTGACGTCGATTAAATCTGCATGGAGGATCTACATCTAAAATAGTCTCACGAATTCTCTATTTTAAACAAAGTGCAAAATTGACATCTGTAAAATTTATAAAAAATTATTCGCCGTCCAAAACATGGGTGCATTGCATAAACTGTATTCCTCAACGGGTAAGATGTATAACGTTTATTTGAATATTCCTTCAGTGTTATGTGTTTAACAAAATTTAACTAATCCCACGGAGCAAAGTACTTCCAGATAAGCTTGCAGCCTCAACCTCTATTACAAACCCGTTTTAATATTACACTCCCATCTACACCTAAGAACCCTAAGTGATCTTTTCCCTTCAATTTTCTGACTAAAATGAGCGTGCTCGTTAAATATTTCGTCCATTACCCCACCTTCATTTTATCAATCTAAAAATATGACAATTTTAATTTATATATCCATTGTTAATTACCTTTGTCAGCAACAGAATATATTTACTCTTAATTAATATTCTAACTGTTTCAATATATAAGAAGTTCAAACAACTGTAACTTATCAAAAGTGGGATACACTTTAAACTTAATCTCAACGAACGATTAACGAAACGGAAGAGACTAATTAATTATGTTTTGCAATCGTCCTACCGCCACTCGATTACGATTTGAAATATGCGCCGCGTAAGTAATAAAATGTTTGGAGACTTCAATGCGTCTATAAGAACTGTGCATGAGAACAGACTGAAATATTACTTGCAACAGGCAAAGTGTACAAAAGAAAATTAACTTTATTTTCTGTGCAGTCACCGTATTCGACCATACACACGCAGGACAACTGTGCATCCCAATGGACTTCCCGGAACAACTCAATAAAATTAGAGGCAGTCCCATACATATATGCGATGCCTGGAAACTTAGCTCCTTACAGAGCTGTGGTAACAATATATACCAATGTTATAATACTTATTAACTCGACATTTTGCCTGCAGAATGCATTATAGGATAATTCTATCTTCAGAGTAAACTGTTTCCCTAACATTAGACGACTGGTCTTATGTGACGGATATGCGGACTGCTTTCTTGGATCGGGGAACCGAAATTTCTAAAACTGTGTAGACATGTAAATGAGAAGCGGTGCCTTTCCTTAGCGGCAGGAATCGACATTTTTAAATATTTCAAAGCAAAGGTAGATACGTACAGGAGGTGGCTCAGAGCTGTAGACTTCCGAGGGTGGGTACTCCTTCACCGTTACGGTCGCCAAGGAGTCTGGCTGGGCTTCCTGCTGCTTGTCCATGATGACTTCTAATTGCGGCACAAAAGAGGGAGTTGCTAACCGCTCCACAACAGCGGCTGATCTGACTGCCAGGGTTCAGCACAGCCTCACCACTATAACACCAGATCGAGAAAGTAGGAGGGTAGGAAACTAGGTCCTGGACACTCATTGGTTCACATCGAGGTCACTGCAGCAGCGTCAATCAGAACTTGTTGCTTTTCAAGTGAAATGTATGAGGAGGACTCGCTGATAAACGTGCGGGTGGAGGATCAAGTCGCGGTGAAAGCACACAAGAGGGCTGTCCAGTATGCCTCTTTCTCGCAACAGTGCCTTACACAGTCTCATCCCAATCATTTTCCATGAAAAATGCCTTTGGCCCTGAAAAGAAAAACCTATGAATAATAATATGATAACAAAAAGTCGCCAGAGCGTGAAGCTCGCCTCATATCCATCTATTGGACCTTTGTTTCCACATATCATACCCCTTCATAGAGCATTGCTTAGGCCCCGGAGGACTTTACCTTACCTTCAATGATAAAGTAATGCCATTGCATTAATTGGATGTTTGGTCGTTTCTTTAACGACGCTGTCAGCAGCTCAGACCACAACTACACTGAATGGCAGGATGATTAATGACTGATGAATTGGAATGAATATGGAAAAAGCGCTCGTGACCTAATTAAACACGCAATCAGCGGGACCGACGAAATCCACGAAAAGTCTGAGGACAATCGGTCTCCAGGTCGAAATTGGAAGCCATAATTTCCAAAGTGCTAACCACTCGACAGATACAAAACCGAAACGTGATACACGGCAAAATAGCTCTTGATCTCCAATGAACAGGAAGCTGGGTCTGCAAAAGAACATCTTATTTTGACTTAACACCTAACGACAATCAAACCTCTATCGTCTTCCTCATGTCCAGCAAATTTGTCGATCTATCCTAAAGAACGATAATGTTGACCCCACTGAAAGCATCCACATCTCGGAAATTTCCAAAACTGTCACAAACCAGTCCATTATGATGGCCGTACGAATTTGTAAGGATGGAAGAGCAACCTCGCCAATGGGTCAAAGAATTTTCAACGTTATTGGTTCTTTAAGAAATATTCAACGTTCATAAACGTAAACGATAATAACATGGCGACCCTGATAAATAATCTGATGTGACTGCAATAAGTGTTCAGATATATTGAGCTAACCTGTGAAATGTGTATGGTAACACGTGATAAAAAACCCTATTGGCAGCAGGAAGGAGTGGCATTACGGCATATAGGATCAAACAACACACAAAAGCCTAGGACTTTCAATTTTTCTTTGTGAGTACAAGCGGTGTACAGAGGCAAATAAGCGTAGCTGAGATGCATCTGCAAACAAACCCATTGCTACCAGTAACATTGTAACGAAGAAAACAGGTGTGTAAAAGCAAAGCAACAGAATGAAGTGTCATGTGCAAGGTTCTGACACAGTAAAATATACATAAAATCATACTAAAAATGATTAATGACAATAAATAATGTCAAAGGAGGGACTTAAATGCTGTCATCTCAAATTTGAAGACGTGAATGTTCACTGGAGCAGCGATACATCTGTCATGAAAAGACACAAACTCAACTTTCATTGGGCGAAATGCCAGTTTGAGTGAAACGACACTTTTGGTTAAACGAGACGCTTGCGAAAATAATGAAGCGATTCGTAAAATTCTGTGACAAAGTTAGAAATTGTCCATTGTCTGGTGAACATTTGCAGAGGTCCTACAAAATATTTAGATGATTGTTTATTATTATTTGTTTATTTTATGATGCTGTATTAGCAGCTGAAGAAATGTAGATTTGAATGACATCACGGGATAAGACTACCACAAAATTAATGTTCGATTGTAGTCAAAATAATGCAGAAGATTCACTGCCCTCGTTTTTCTCATTCTCTCAGTGAAGCATTTATAAAGTGTTTACAATTTATCTCTGAGTGCAAAACACAAACCGAAGTGGTTTGAGAATTCCGGGCTTAGGCAGTGGAAGGAGGATAGAGAAAATTACGTAACTTCACGAGTTTTACATCTCACTAATATCAGAGCGACTTCTTCAAGGCAGACGAAATGGGCAGGGCATAGGCATGAACACGCACACAAAACATGAATTCTTAGAGAATTTCAACTGTGAAACCTTGTGGGCAAAGACGTAGATAAATTGGATCTTAAGAGAAATAGGGTGAGTGGACTGGTAGGGAATCGGGTTAATTATGGACAGAAATTAACATTTCGGTTCAATAAAAGTGGAGCACTTCTTGATGAACTACTTACTTAGAATATAATTATTTTTAAGACGCAGCTATTAGCAGATGGTTAATGCAAAGTTCCAACGACAACAGGAGTTCCACGTTTGTGCCCCCAGAAAATTTTCTTTCTCGATATATCTAGCAAATGCTTAAGCAAACCCAAACAGAAGAGCTTCACCTGTGAAGTGTTGATTCTTCGACCTGGTTTCCACGAAAACCAACTCTCCCACACTGCAGAATCCCATTTTGCAACTTCAACACAAACTTCTAAATAACATGTTTGATGCTGCAAAGGGAAACATAATAGAGAAACAATGAAGACAAAGTAATAGGGAACTACCACAGAGGCATAAGGTTTTTTATTTATTTTTTATTAAAAAAACACGTCAAGTTCAATATATTTCTTCAGTAAGAGATATTTTGTGTCGTGTAGCAATTCTTAACCAACATGTCTTTTTCTTATGAAATTCTATAAGTTGAGAGATTCAATACCAAATTTAATCTAATCTCATTAAGTAGTCTTCAAAACAAATATACTTGACTTGTTCACTAAGATTTAAAGTCAAGTAAATCACAAAGAACTTTCACGCAGAGGTATTCTGCAGTAAGGGCTGTTCCTTTACTCTCACAACATTATGTTAACTTATTTTTATTCTGAATGTTCCCAAGCTGATGACCTACACAATCCCATCTGTCTATGACACACAATGAAAACTTTCATTGCTGCTTCTAACATAACCCACATTTTCATAAACACCGCAAGAAGTGAGGAGATGAATGCTATTCCGGTTGCTGCCCAAAATGTCCTGTATGGCGATACACATCCAGTTCATACAGAGCTGATACTCTGATGGGGCAAGAAAAGCAAACCTGGTATTTTTTCTCCAAAAAAATAAAACTGTAGTCAATTAAAAATAAAAAGTTTTTTCATATTTCAACTTACGCTAATTCTTCATTTCAGCAAGTTTCCTTCTTGTGTTGTTTTATAATAAAAAATTATGTCATTGCATACCACCAGAAAATTTAATACTATTAACAGTAAGTAACAGTAGCAGTTGTTGTTGTAGTAGTAATATCGTTATTATTCATCGTCCTGATGACGGAGGCAATATGACCTCTGAAACGTTGGTTAACATCGACCAGACTACACAGCGCAACAACCCAGAAGACAGAAAGCTTCATACTCACCGCTGTGAAAACCTCAAATCTTATATCATTATTGTTACTGCTATGACAATTTTTAATTTGAACACAGATACGAAACACGTTGAATATTTTAATGAGTGGTTTGCTACTAACAGAACACTTTCATTGCAGCCAAATGTTTTTTAACAAATGAAAGCCGAGGCCTAGCAGCTGTTACGGCAAAAAATACACTATTTGAAAGTCTGGCCCGAACGAGACTCGGTGAAGTAACACCACAGATTGGAACGGATTGAGGCACAACTCAACTTCATCAGGTCGTGCTATGACCATTGTGTGTGACATCACAGCCTTCATCCACACAAATGATGAGGGAAATTTGTATTGCAAGACTAAACAATATTGATAATTCAATACAATGATCTCAATATCATTTCTACACATTGGGTTAGCTATGTCAATAACATTTTCAATTTCCTTAGGTTATGTGCTGTCTTCTTTTTCTTCTTAACGCTGCTCGCTGATTTAAAATCCTAGCGCTGTTTTAAATACTTAAGACATACCTACATAAGACAACACCTAAAATAAACACGAACATATATTTATGTATAAAATGGGATCAGAACCCACGTTTCCAGCACTGAGGCAGCGAAGACAATAATTAATGTCTCTACTGTTGATTAGCAATGTCAATTAACAATTCTGAATTAACCCCAAACCCAGTAATCAACCATGCATGCATAAAACATATACTTACGAGGCAGGTGCTGGCTTACTCGTAATCACTGGAGGAGGGATGGAAAAGCAGTGGAAATCAATGGAAAGGAGGAAGCTGTGACTTATCCTGGTAGAATTATAGTAGGGACAGACTGAAACAATGGAAAGCTCCAGTAAAACAGGTGAATATTAGACTCAAGTCAGAAAACCAATGAAGTCAAGTGCATTAATGTGCGAGTTATTATGTACTAGTAAAGGTGCAAATGTAAAGAAAGTTAAAGTACCTAAATACTGTCTCATCACTAGCTTCCAGAACAATGAAATAGCATACAAATGGCTAACAAGTCCTTTGTGATTGTGACAAAATTCAAGTATTTGGGAATGGCAGCAACAAATCAAAATAACATTAATAATGGAGTAAGGAAAAGATTAACTTTGAGAAATATTTGCCAGAATCCAGTTCTATATATTATTATCAGTAATGGTAATATGCTTCCAATACAATTACAACTTTATTTTAAAAAAGATATTATAAATAAATAAACTTGTGTAACAGACAACACATCATTCAAACACAGTCCAAGAGATGTTACAAGCATTCAAATTGTTTGATGTATAATGCTTTCTTCCATCTTGAAGAGGTGGGGGTTGTTCTTTTTTCAGTTTCTACAAAATAGCATGGAAATTCTTTTGTAGCCAGAAAGTAAAACTACGTCTGATAGTAACATAGATTTTCACAGTTTGTTTCCAGATCTATGCAAGAGTCAACTTGAACCTTCTTCCCAGTTATCTCAACCTGCAATTTTCATATTGACCTAAAACAATTCTGTGAATATAAAAACAAATCAAATCTGAAAACATTTGTCAGGATTTAGTAATATTCCCAGTCTGATTATCATGCCAGTAGTACATTCACATTCCTTAATCGTCTTCAGCTTCCAAATTGATATGATTTCCAAATTTAGCATACAGCTGAGTTTTCATATCACTCATGATGCTGCGAAGTTCTGCACATTTCAATTCCAAATCTTCTATTTCAGACTGAACCCGGGACTTGGCTTCATCCAACATTTTCTACAGCAAAAAAAGCACCAGTCAATTACGACGATATTAAGGGTTATTTACAGCAGTGCAGGCATTATTCTGGCATTTACCACCATTCTGGGCTAAAGAGATACTTTTGCCTATTTACTTATATGCAGGAAACACAATTTGACATTTTAAACAACTAAAACAGTGTGTGAAATTTCAAGTCTAAAAATACCAACTTAACATTCTCCAAATGTCACACAAAGAGCTTAATAAATTTGAAAAACTAGTAAAATGTCTTGTGTTAAAAGCTTCATGGCACTGTTACTATGTAATTCTAAGGATGCCAAAAATATTGTCACAAAATAAAACAAAAACTACACTTTCTATAGTGATATATTTAGTATTGTCAGTGAGATAAAGCACTGTCAGAAATCCATCTTAAACTGACCATTTACTCCATTCATCCTAGTTAATAATAATTTTGTGTACCTCATTTTCAAACACTTGAAATTTAAGTTCTTCCCTTCATGTTTCACTCTCATACAAAGAAAAAACTGGCAATATATTTAATAATTATTCAACTTTAAAGTAATGGAAAGAAGACCCAATGATAACAGTTCCTGGACTGAATAATAACACACTTCTAGAATTTATTCCATTCAAAACTTTATTTCTATTTGTTATTATTTCCCCCAGGTACTTGAATTTGGAAACCAATCAGTCCACTACTGTGCTAGAGTTTAACAATCTAACTTCTGGTATTTTGTGTCAGAGAAATCATACTCTGGTGTAAAGTGTCAACATTACAAACCAAGAAGTCACATTTATGACAACATGCAATAGTTCAATTATGCTTAAATAAACAGACTTCAAAGAGTAAAATAATGCTGTTAATGGGCTGATTTAAAGCAATCTTCATAAGATTAATAATTACACTAAAATTCACAGGCAGCTTAGAATGTTGTAATACTTGTTTATTTTACTTTCCACAGTTCCATAAAATAAAGGTCACCACCAATATGGAACATGATCAGCTGATGCAGCTTAGCCAATAAAACAATACATGTATGGAGAGCTAGGGAGAAACTGGACCACAGACACAATGTTTGACATACCTTATACTACCAACATGAATAGTACTAACTACCAGTAACAGATGAGCTAATTAATGTCATTTAAACTGAAAAGGCATCAAGTAAGATAGGAATGTAATCTAAAATAATGAGTTTGTAAGAATTTGAATAATTGTGGCCTATTGCAAAGTACTATCCCAACATTATCCTGAAGAGACTTCATTACTGGAATGACAAACCTTCAGGATTTGTAAAAGGAAATTTCTTGAGCGCCTTAATAACTGTATACACTGCTTTAGGAAGACCTGCATCATACAGTTTGTTAGTTTTATACACTTTTAATTATTATACAGTAGTCTTACATGGTGATGCAACACAGGTTAACACAACAAGAGCCCTGTACTGTACCTGTGTTTGCTCAATACCATGGTATATGAACACCTCTCCCATAAAGAATGGAATATTTTTATCACTATCAGCTAATATCAGTTCTTCACAAGCATCCTCTATGTTCTTCAACTCATTCTGAAAATAATACACATACACAGTGCAGCAATTAACTTAATAATACAATATGAATATTACAAATTATAACCTCTCAATTGTAACATTACATAACAGATATCCATTCATCACAGTTCCTTGTAGACATACATACACATAATACCAAACCAAATTGAGTGTCGCAACACCTATTATCCCAACATCAACAACAGATTCTGAATAAAGCAAAGATAAGACTCAGACTGTCATCTGACAAGATGTTAGCAAAGCTGAGCATAGCAATGCCTATATGAAGTCAACAACACAAGTACATTCAAGCATTGCAAGGTACTAAACCCAATCAAAAACAAAACAACCAAACTCAATCTAAGTTACTCCTTAAAACAGGATGCTGGCAACCCAACAATAACTCATGATCTTGAGAAAAGCAAAGATCAGTATCAGGATGTCATACAACATGACAATGACAACCCAACGCCAAATATTGCAAAGCGTATTCATCTGATGCCAACAAAAAATTTCTGAATCAATGACCATGGGCCCAACTATTTATATTCATGCACAATGAATTAATAAAATCATGACAAATATCTTTGAAATAAATTACTGTCAGAAATATGTTCTTGAATTTAGGTATAATAATTTCTCATGTGATATTCAATGATATGTATCAGACAATTACACACAGGTAAGATTGATAATGTAAGCATTTGTAGAACATCCTCACAGTAACAATGTTGGACTCTGGTACTAAGGATATAAATTTTACCTGCTTAATCTTAAGTTCCTCTTTGAAGTCATCTAATTTTGCATTGTGACGAGCAAACTTATTTATCTTCTGCTGATCTTCATATGTAATATGAACATCAGAATCCTACAAAAGAAAAATCATTATGTACAATTCAACACTTAGAGGAGAAATGGAATACCAAAATAATGTAAATATATGTTTCCATATCAAGGCAGATTAATCTACAATATGAATAAAGGTCCACTTTTTACAAATATATATTATATTACATGGTTACAAGTCAATAGTTGAATACATTAAAAATCTTGAATATAGCCACTAAAATGTATGTTATCAGTAGTGAGTTATGGTGAGGGGTAAAGACAGAAGTTACCAGCACTTTCTTTCCCACAGATGAGAATTTAGCTTGTCTGACTCATACTGGGAATTCATGTCATTTTCTGTCAGTCACCATGGGATACCACTATGCTACATGAACTGGATTATATTTGACTCTTATTTTGTCTCAACTTCTCTTTGTTACTGTAATATTGTTTGGGTGTGTGTGATACTCCAAACAGGACAATTACTACACATCTCACTTAAGTAAATACATTCACAAGGACAAGCATGCATACGAGGAATGGGTGCAGGTTAAAAAGAATCTAGTCTCATGCAAATTACAAATATTAGACATGCAAACTATCAGATGAAGACTATTTAACGTAACTATAGTTTAAAAAAGACACTCAGGAAACTACACAATCAACATATAAACAAATATTCAGCACGAAAAAATGAAGTTACCGGATTAAAAGATCCTTTCGAACCAGCGGAACTAACTGACTTCGCCATTTCTCTTTCTCAGGATCACAGACATTAATGACGTGAGTTTGGTCGTCTTCATGGTAGTCAATCAATGACCATAAATCGATTAATACCCCAAAGATTGAAATGTTTGGCAATGTCTTCGTCCCTCCCAAAATCCCGACAAGGCTTATGATACAACAACAAATTGTTATACATACCACCTGACTCTTTATGTTCTGTAAAGCTTTCTAACAAATTCAGATCGCTTTTGATCTGTCAGTGGTACCACTGTAAAGTAAATGATATTTCTACTTAAAGAATACAAATGTAGAGTGGTAAGATGTTAGATCATCTGTGCTGCCGAAGGCTAATCCTTTGCGGTTGACAGGACTGTTTGGGCAATGGTACACGCAGACTATAACACAACATCAATGCTGGTTGTAGCATGCTATCCTGAACGTAAATAAAAGCAGTTCTATAAATAATACAAAGCACGTGTTGCAATTAGCGTACCGTGTGCAGGTAGTTCAAAAAGTCTTATTATTGCACATGAACAGTAATGGAAGATGCAGATCTGGATGAGATTAGAGCCAAACGTTTGGCTCAGCTGCAGTCAGAATACAAGGTAATTTATGAGGTTTCGCACAACACTACAAATTAAGTGGACTGTAATTTATGTATATTTTGGCAGTATCAATATCCGGAAAACTACGTCAAATTGTAATAATGGCCATAATAACCCTATCACCAATGCTTATTTTCCAAGCAGGTCATTGTAGCTTATAAGGGTATGGCCCAAGTCTACTGAGTGAAGGGAGGAAAGGGGCACATAAGGAAAGAAATCCCAAAGGAAAACATAATTTTAGATATAAGTTTACAGATTCTCATTTCTAAAGTCAAGGGTTTCTGTCATGATTTTTGGAAGCCAATGGATTCTGCATACTTTCCACAAAATTGAAAGACTATTTGGATCTTTGAAATGAAAAACAGGAACCTTGGTAAGTCTTTGTCAGATCATGTAAAGCTTTCAGGTACAATATGTCCATTTGCACTGGATCCCTAAAACACAAATCCATTTCCTCTTAAATATTCAGTGTAGTTTACATTCTTCATGTACTGAACCACATAGTTCCAGCTTAACATTGATCAGTGAGTTTGTAAAAACTATTTTGTTTGAATGTTCCTGAATTTGAAAATCATTATGTTTTGATTAGATCTTGTGTATTGTTATGACAAGATTTTAGCAAGTGGTTTGGTATTATGATGTAAGGGAACATGTTCATAGTTACTAAGGAGGTTATGAAGAACTTGAGATGAGGGAGACAAGAAAGGAATACATTTCATTGGAAAGACCTCATAGAAGACCAAGTATAAAAAAGTAATATTATCTGTGTGTGTGTGTGTAATTAAGCATCATGCCATAAGATAGGGGAATGGAGGAGAGCTTCACGAGGTGAAGACTGGGCAGCCCTCAGTGGCAGTCTGAATATTGTAACAAAGAGTTGCTCTCTGTTTCTGCTGGGAATAATCTCCCAGTCATCAAGCATGTAGCCAGTGACTATTCTGATCTACCCAAGCTCTTGAAGAAAGAGCAGATTAATTGTATTGAACTGGCCCAATTTTGTATGTGGCTTTGATGTTTAATTTTTGGGGTTTATTAAAGAGAAAGTTGTATTCTGAACTCTGTATACTATAGATCGTTTCCTCACCTTACATAATGTTTCCTTATTTAATTATTTAAATAATTAATAAAACTCTGATACACAGGGAGGTTCAGATACTGAGAAAGCAGAACAGAGAAAGAGGGAACAAGATGAGATGAAGAACACAATCCTTACTCAGGTTCTCACTCAATCTGCAAGGGCAAGACGTGAGTTGTTATTCACCCAAGGTCTTCTAGTATGCTTAGCAGTAACAAGCTACTGTATCATGAAACCATTTCAAGGGTTATGATAATATGCAACTATTGGAATCCTAAAATATTCTTTGAAACATTCAATATATTTATTATGATCTTGCTAAATCATGTAAAATGTTAAATTGAGTTCCAGGCTCAGGAACATTAAATGGGTTTAACCAATTTCCTGTCCATCATTATAAGACTTAACATTGCCACTTTTAATTTTGATTTTATCATTCTGAATGTTAGTTTATAAAATTCAAAGTCTCTGAAAGTCTGTGATTAACATTTTAGATGGATTGTGTGCAAGACTACAATTACTTCTAAAAAGCAAAAAATATTTAACTCATAAAGATTAAATATTAGGGCAAATCACAGCTCTGAGAATTATATCTTAACAATGGGGCATTCCACATGAACCCAGAATATGTAGACACGAATGACTGGCCAAGTAGAAATATCTATTCTAAAGAATGTCAAACTAACAGACCACATGTTACAACAGTTCCATGGTCAGTCTGTGTAATCTAATATATACTCACTTTATCATAAATTCTAATTGTATATGCCTATTTACCTAGTGTGGTTATTGTTTAGTCTTATTAATGTTACCTTTCAGTTAACACATTAATGATTGGTAAACCAGAAAAAGGCCGGCTGGTGGAGAACATGCTTCTTCAAATGGCTCGCACAGGTCAAATAATGAGCAAACTTGGTGAAAGTGAATTAATAAACATTCTTGAAAAAGTCAGTGAGCAGATGCAACATAATACAACTGTCAAGGTAAGTTCACAAAAAGAAATGTTCATTCCTTTGTTGGTAGTTGTAAACAAAATAGACATAATGAATAAGCCACTGAATTACATTCTTATTTAATTTGGATATTGTATCTTTTGGCCTTTAGTTTGACCGCCGACGAGCTGCTTTAGACGATTCTGATGATGATTTCTGAAACTGTTTGCTGAGTCTCATGATCTGGAAGAGATGGGCACCACCACAGAATGAAAGCTTACAATGCATTGTGATTAATTCATCACCAACATAAGTGACATTAATACAGTTTTGCACTTAGTGCACAGCAAATACTTATGAAAATGTTTTCATAAAACATTGTACTAACTAAGAAATATTATCTATGTCCTTAAAATACAAATGGGTTCTTATTTATATTGATTCCTCTTTTTTCCTGTCTCCTTTCAGAAAAAGATGATTAAAATATATAAAATTTGGTCTTTATCCCATGTTATATGCATGTGAAATCCTGTCTCTTACTCTAGGAAAGAAGATAGAGTGAGGACTTTTTAGAACAAAATGCTAAGGTATTACTTGGAGTTAAGAAATACTGTAGTAATCTGACAAAGCAGGGAATTAATGAATGAAGAGCTTCATAATTTGTATTATACAACATTATTAGGAAGGTTAATTCAAGAATAAGTAGACATGTAACACAAGATGAAAATAAATCCATGCAGATGACAGGAAACAGTTATAACATGATCATCCACTTCCACAACAAGGGGGATTTTATACACATATCAGACAGGGACTACATGTTTGGTGGAAGGCTGAATATACAATTCAACACAATATGTGCCTTCCTAAATGAAGAAAGGTAACTTTGTTCAAGGTTGCACAGGTAGGCAATGCAATACAAAGAATGAGAAAATGTAGAGCCATTGGAATTCATAATGCAGGAACTGTTTTTGCAAAACTGGAAAAACAGATTCTTAAAGAAGACAAATATCAGAAGCATGAAAGATGTAATTTCAGACTAGTTCTGGGGCCCACCCAGCCTGCCATCCAATGGGTACCGGGGTCCTTTCCCAGGGGTAAAGCGCAGCCAAGGCATGATGCTGACCACTCACCCCCATCTAGCACTGAGGTCAAAAATGAGTAGGAGCTATATCTCCTCTTTCCCCCAAGTGCCTACATGGTGTATAGTGGGACAGCTTTAATTTTACTTTACTATACTTTTCAAAGATATATTGTCACAAAAAATTACAAGTTCCTTCAGTAACAGCAGTAGTGCTGTTTCAACTTTACAACTTTATGGGTACTAAAGAAGCAAGTCTTCCATCAGAACCCTAAAAAGCATATGCATCCATTTTTTGTATTCAATTAAGGATTGGAAGGGATATGAATATGGCACACAAATGGAAGAGAAGTGAGAGAGCAATATACAAAACACTTCTCTTTTTAAAACTTACATATATAGGCCTCCTAGTTCACCAAGCCTTCATTACATACAGGAGTGTAGATAGGCAGAGTACCTTGGTCATTGCCAGCATCCGAATAAACAAGAGTGGCAGGTTCTGCTGAGCTTGCCATGTTCTTATCTGGCTAATGTTTACAGGCTGGTTTTCTATTGCATAATTCATAAATATGTTAAAGATATGGCACAATGATGCAAACTATTTTATTTACAACACTTTTTGTTTATGAACAAAAAGTTTCTTATGTAAATATGTACCTCCTGCTTTAACAATCAATAACTCTGCACTTTGTCCACAGAGTGTATTTATGCATTTCATATGATTCTCAGAATAAACAGCAATTATTTCCTTAAACATAATCAACTATATGACCTTTGTAATTATGGTGCAGTGTTTTTTCTTTGCAGTAGAGTCAGGTTTTTTAAACAATATATAGATGAGCTTTGGCTTCAGTAGGTTAATAAACACTAGCATAGCCTTGTAACATTGGACTTGGCAGTACCAAAATTGATCTGCCATTTTGTTTCAAAGGTGTTATGACAGGTCAACCCAATCTGCTTTACACTGGACACAAGTGAATTCAATTGGCAACTATTCTGACATCCTGCAGTTAACTCATCAGAAAATTCACAGTACATCATGTACTTATGGCCTAGAGGGTTCATGATGTCTGCACTCAAATGTACTGTCAACAGTCCAGTCATACTACATTGTTGCACATGCACAAGACATTCACAGGAGAGAATAAATTACAAAATAAATACATGGAACATTCAAAGTTGTGATAAATCCTCATATAACAATTCCTACTTGTTTTTACACAAAGTAAACAGAAATTATTTATAAAAAGGTATTACATACTCCTATAAACTGATCCAATTAGTTAAAAAGGAACCTGCCATTATTTTCAATTTTCAGTATTTGCAGTCCTGAAAAAGTAATTATTACAGTTGAGAAAAACAAGTTTCTATGGCTTCATTCATGTCTCTGTTCTTCTCAACTTATTTTTTTAGGAATTTCACCCTATTTAGATCCCACAGTGATAACATATATATAAAACAAATGCATTAAAGAAGCTTGTAACTGTAGAATATTCACCTGCCATTTGTGGAAAAAACATTTAGACTGAAGCTTTAAATGTCTGATATTTGTACTATTTGGAATGTAAATTTAATTTTATAAGACTAGAAGAGGTCAAGAAAGAGAGGAGCTATACCTCCACTCACCCCAAGAACCTGTATGGCATGTAGCGGGACAAACTTCTCCTTTACTTAGAAGCTTTCATCGTAAATGAACTCTATAAAATCCTCTTGGGCAACAAGCCACATCAGTTGTGGACAGTTGTGTGTAAATTTAATTTGTTCTAAGCAGCCCAATTCACATTTACAATTTGCATAGTTTGCTGAGTTATTTTATGTACTATTGTTAAGAAATCTCATGATTGTGACCAATAACCCAAAGACAGACACATAACAACAATGTGTTTTCAACTTCATATTATTAAACAGTTCTTTGTGCCTAAGCATCAGTCCATAAATAAATATATAGGAGGCTTTAAGAAAAAGCTTCAAACATTCAAGACAGCATATGGAGATAAGTAGACAGCTACCATATTCAAACTACCTTAGCTTCAGGAGCCTGGGTCAGCCCTAACAGCTGGGTTCAGAATAGTGATGGCAAGAGTGCTGGAAAATGAGTTATATTCTACAGCTACCCTAGCCCACAACTGACACTTCATTTATGAATACCTCTTAATCACACTGGCATGCTGTCTACAGTTACAGTAGAATCTCCATTAAAAACTCCTTGATTTAAGGTTTCTTCTCATTTAGTATTCAATTTGTTTGATTCCAGGCCAATTATATTCCACATCTTCCAGAGAAACATTAAATAGAAATTTGTCTGTATTTATTTCTTCTGTCTTTTTGAAATGCCAAGTATGATAATTTCGTGTATTTTACACGATATTTAACAGTACATTCAATTACGCTTTTAACCATGCTGATCATAAAACTGTTTTTCAATATCATGATTTGTGTAGACATCACTGTTGTTATAAATTAACTCCACCTGTAGGAAAATTTGTCCTAAATATGCAACTGACACCCAATACTCACTTTACAGATTTTCATAAAGGTATATATAGTTTCAAAATGGCGCTAACTTGTTTTCTTGGAAAACATATCTAGTGTTCAATGTACGAAGACACAATTTCCTTTCTTCTAGACCACTTAAAATATTATTTTTTAAGAAAGAAGACTGCAGTTCCACATTTAAATTACTGTACATTATGCCCTAATAGCAATAGTAACTACAATATATATGTAATTAAATTAATTGCCAACCTGTTGACAGTATTGTCTTGTTAGGCACGACACACCACTATCCAGCTGGTGACAATATCAGCTGAACCTGATGTGTGGAATAGCCTGGCCTGTATAATCTGCAAAGGAAAACAGAATTCTGTTACTAAGCAGCAACATAACTCTCTCACCTCCAAGCAATTCAATTTATTCTCAAATGTAGGAGATCCAGGAATTGTATATAACATTTTGACTGAAAAACCTCAAGGAAAGAAACCACACAGAAGATCCATGAGAAAATATGAGGATGATATGGAAATGGATCTTACAAAATGGGATGTAAAGATGTGACCAGATTTTATTAGATCAGGGGACAGTAAAATTGTGAACACAGCAATGATTCTTCAGATTTCATTACAGGGAACTTCTTCACCAACTCAGTAACTGTCAACATCTGAAGGATGACGTACTCGGTTTGTACACCTAGATATTCTATGTGATCTCTTTCCTTCTGGTTTTTGACTAAAATTATGAATACATTTGTAATCTCTTCCACACATTACATGCCCCGCCCATCTCATCCCACTAAATTTGATCATCCAAATTGTTCAGAAAGATATGAAGACAAAAATAATTAAAATTCTAAAGATGTAACATTCTGAGATATCACAAGAACTTAATCTTTAAATACTTATTCAAGTATTATTCATGACAAAAGAATACAAATACCTTAACAATAATAATCCACTTAAAGTTAAGTAAGAACATCAATCACTGTGTACTTGCTGGCACCTGTTTATGTTTCAAAGGTCCTTGGTATTTATCCGAGTCCACAGACACACTATTCTCAATGAGGTTTCTCTGGATTATACTCAGTTTGCCCAAGCATATGTTGGGCTAGTACCCTAAAGAGGCTGTGACCACTTCTTTCCACATCCTTCCCAATTCACAATAATTCTTATGAATGAATACAACATTAAGAACTGACAAAATGTTAAATAAACCATCGCAAACAATATGTAAGCATGCTACAAGCCATACATTGAAACTGAAGTGGATTATGATGATACCTGATATTTCTGCTTTTGTAGTATAACTAATACTGTCATATTGCAGACACCTTATTCCTTCTTTTCATGTATCACATCTGAAACACAAAAAGATAAGTATGTAGGCCTAATCTTTCAAGGTGAAATTTTATAAAATTAAGATATGGCCCAGTAATGTTTTTATCTAGTCATATACTTTGCTCATGTGTTTTACGCAAACAAGACTTCTCTCACAGAAATGTTTGGCAACACTTTCCCTTCACCATGAGTCAAATAACTTATAGCAAGAAATGATTCCATGAGTCTAACTGAATGCATTAACTTTCCAGACCTCGACCTTTAAAGTAATAGTTTGAAATGTAGCCAACAGATAATAAGAGTGTTTGGGAGATTTTTCAGTCCAACTGACTGGCAGCCATCTGTATCCTTAGGACATAAAATACAAATCCTGACACAGACTTTAATATTGTGATTGCGAGTGTTAAATATGGATGAAATTGTCACAAGTTTGTACACAAATTCTTTCCATGAAATTTTGGTGTGCACTTTGTATTTTGCCAAACAATCATACAGAGAGATAAGGATTGTTTTGTAGTACTGATTCATTATGTTTATGTATTATTAACAGTATTTCCTAAAAGTAATAAATAAACTAAAATAAAAATATAAATAACAATGTGCAAGTGCAAAATTGTGCTGTGTGCTATAACATTTCCAAAAATACAGAACACCTTAAAACTCTTTTGGCCTAAGTGCATAAGATTCTATATTTAGATGAATTTGTAACCACTTCAGAATAACTACATGCAAAAATTTGTTACAAAATCTTATTAACATTCACAGATTTTTTTAATACCCAGAAAAAGCCCAATGTGACAATGTCAGCTTCATAGGAAAACTTTTCATGAACATTTTAAGCATAATTATTCCCAAATCAAAGTACAGTGTAATATCCATATAACATTCCCTTATGTATTGTCAGATGCTGTTCCA